GTATATATATGCCCTTTTTTCTCAAGTATAAATTCTAATTATAATAATCTTCAGTTAACAAAACATTGAATCTTTCTAGAACAACACATTGAATGGCTGCATATTAAACCATTTCATATATTTTTAACAAACAGAGTAATTAAAGTAGAAAACCGCGGGTTTGGGCTTCAGAGATGAATGAACTAATTGGCAGTCTGAACTTTGGTCACCGGCCCACGGGYCACCAGTTGAATATCCCTGCCTTAAGCTGCAGGAACCCTGTGTTTGATTGCAGTGAGTGCCTTTTCAAAATAAAAGCCCAGTATTTCTTGAAAGAATGAGTAAAAGTGAGAAAACTGCCCACAGGTTTATACGACAGCCCTCCAGGAACAGATGATGCAAAGCTCATTGATATTTTCTACCCGGGGGATCAGCAGTCCATCACGTACGGAACCAAGTCCAGAGTCGGGATCGGGGGCATGGAAGCCAAGGTCGGCACGAAAAACAACGCCTCTAAATCTGTCACTTGTTTTGTTTTGAATAAGTCTTCCTGATTTTCTCTTTGGACCAGGTGAAAGCAGCGCTCTGGGCCCTCCAGGGGGGCACCTCGGTAATCATCGCCAACGGCACGGACCCCAAAGTCACCGGCCACGTCATCACCGACATCGTGGACGGGAAGAAGATCGGCACCTTCTTCTCTGAAGTGAAGCCCGCAGGTACTGGGCGGAGCCAGACAGAAATGTTCTGTCGTGTTGTTTTCTTCTAGTAAGCAGGTGTTTTTATGTGACGTGCTCGTGTTTAACCCCACCAGGTCCCACCGTGGAGCAGCAGACGGAGATGGCGCGGCACGCGGGGCGGACTCTGGCCTCTCTGCTGCCTGAGCAGGTGGGGGTCACGCCGCTGGTCTTTTCCCATCCTGCGTGCTTCATTTGTTGAATCGGGTTATCACGATGTTTGTTTCCAGAGAGGAGAAATCATCTGCAGCCTCGCTGAGCTCCTCACAGAGAAGAAGGATGAGATTCTCAGCGCCAACAGGAAAGACATGGAGATGGCAACAGCAATGGGTAAAAGAGCAGATCGGCCCGACTTACAACAGCAGGTTTTTATTTAAAGGGATCCATGATTAGTTGTAACATTAGACTTTATTTAATAAACATATATTTTAACTGTAAAAGAGACTGTAAAAATACAGTAGGATGTTTAGTTTTTATCATTTTTAAACTAAAAGTTTAATGTGACGGCCTCTTTGTTTTGGTATTACACGGACAGAGCCATTTTATTTCCACACAAAGCATTCTGGGTAAATGATGACATGGATAGGTCCTCGGTGCGAGGC